GCGAGGCTCACCAAAGTACACAAGCGACTGGACTGCAACTCGACGCTCGTGTAGTGTGTGGGCAATGACGGATTTGTCCACGGATGGGTACGGCTCGGGGTTCGGCTCGCGGTGCGTGTAGTGAATGGTGGGCTTAAGCCCATCCGTGGACAAATCCGTCATTGCCCACACACTACACGAGCGCCGAGTTGCAGTCCAGTCGCTTGTGTACTTTGGTGAGCCTCGCGCGTATCGTTCTTCCCTACCCTACCATGCCACCGGTGCTTTCCAAACGCACAAAAGTCGCTTTAGTAGTCGGTGCAATACTTTTAACGGAGAATAAAAAGAAAAAGAGCGTCTGAACAAAGGAATGGCTGAAACAACGAACAAAATATACTCATTTAAAATTTCTGCAATGTGAATGCATTGCCCTGTAAACTAAAGAGAAACAGGTGGTTTCTCTTTAGTTTTCTCTTTAAACAGCAGGATAAATTCTTGACAAAACTCTTTATGATCGCCGAACGACATGTTATTATACTCGTTTACTCGTTCGTGATACAAACAACACAACTGCAGGCCAATTATGCTCGCTAATTGTGATATTGTTTTGATGTCAATTTCACATTACGCATTATGCTCTCCGAAAAATGCGATATCAAAATGACATCAACTTTAAAATGATATCAACTGAAATGCGTGTTATGTTCAACTTTTTGACATAAAACAGTATCGCATAAATGACAAAAATGTGATACAGACTTAACAAGTTAGGAGGTGGTTTTTCTGTATCAAATTTCTTTATTATTTAATAAAAAAGAGTAAAATGGCTCGTTTCGTGTTAGTAATGGACTATTTAGAACGTGCTCATGCCGAGGACATGCGTAGAAGAGATAAACCCCTTGTAGAAGAGATACAATTAGCTCTTTATGTTCGCTAATTGTGATATTGTTTTGATGTCAATTTCACATTACGTATTATGCTCTCCGAAAAATGCGATATCAAAATGACATCAAATTAAGCGTATTATTATCAACTTTTTAAAATGATATTAACTTGATATCAACTTAAATGCGTATTATGTTCAACTTTTTGACTTAAAACACTATCGCATTAACGTCAAAATAGTGATACAGACGTGATCCAGTATTAACAAGTTAAGAGGTGGTTCTGCGTGCACGCACTACAAATGACTGACAAGTTCGCCGATAAATCTGTGCAAGCACACACACGTACGGATTTGTACGGCGCGGCTGGGGTGCGGCGCGGCGCTCGCGTCTCTCGACGGCGAGCGCCGCGCCGAGCGGCGAGCCGCGCTCACCAATACATTCACACGCGGATTTGTCCGCGGACTTGTCGCCAGCGACAAATCCGGCGGATTGGCGCGCCTGTGAATGGTAGGCTTTAGTGTCGCCGCACACGGACCAAACGCCGCCACGAGAAGCTAGAAGCGGCTACTAAGGTAAGGGAGAGAGGGGTGAGGAACCACGCGAGTGACGTGTGGCGGCGTTTTGTATCGGCGCATTAAAGTGGCCGGTGCGGGCCACAAGAAGCGAGCAACGACGATTTGTAGCGTGTAGCGAGTCCATATAAAATGTATGAAAACTATAGGAAATATGCCGGTGGCGGCGTTTTGTGGTTGTGGCCCGTGTGCGGCGACACTTAACTAAAGAAAATTTATTATTTTAAATCTAAAGAAAATTTTACTAGAAACGATTCCACGCGGACCATGCAGCAGACGGGACTCGAACCCACACCCTTCGCTATCCGAGCGGATGCACTGACCAATACGCTACCGCGGCTCTAATTATCCGTGTCCAATTTTCTCTAGCATTTCTTAGGCTGCAAGGCAGCGCCATCTCTTCACATTATAGGTAACCCACAATGTCAGATGAATACCTTAACAAGCATCAAATCTTGAAAGAAGAAATAGCTTATTATTGGTATATTTTAGAGATGGGCCGACTAGCCCCCGACTAGTAGGAAAAGACGACTATTCGGCATCATTTAAAGTGGGCGATTAGTTGGCGACTATTCGGCAAAACATGCCGATTATAATCGGCACAAAACAATGAAATAAAACTCAAAACTTATGCTTGTTTTGAATATTGAAACAGTACCTAGCGTATCTATTTAAAGTTACCTACAGTGTTAAAATATAAAAAAGGTAACACAATGAATATCGTACATAACAAAATAGCAATGGGAAATAAGTATGTATTAATGAAGGAAATTCTTAAGTGCTAGCGAGTCTTAAAGAAATCTGTAGGTATTTTTTTTCCTAAGAGGTAAATTGTGATTTTGGAACTCTCGAACGTGAATATTTCGGCTCGATTTGGGAGACTCGTATCGTGCGTGAGCAAGCCGAGTATTGACGAAATATTCCGAACACCTTCCTAAGGGTGCGGCCAGAGTGCACTCAGATTCAGATTCAGATTCAGACTCAGAAAACAAGCGCGAGAAATAAACAGTGTAGTTAAAGCAGGGTGGCCATAGTGGCAGCAGGCAACCTGCTTAAACTACACTGTATATTTCTCGCGCTTGTTTTCTGAGTCTGAATCTGAATCTGAATCTGAGTGCACTCTGGCCATACCCATAGGGTGCGGCCAGAGTGCACTCAGATTCAGAGTCAGATTCAGATTCTGAAAACAAGCGCGAGAAATAAACAGTGTAGTCGAAGGGTACGGCCAGATTGCACTCCTGATTCAGATTCAGATTCAGACTCAGAAAACAAAGCGCGAGAAAAAGCAAGCAACCTGCTTAGACTACACTGTTTATTTCTCGCGCTTGTTTTCGAAATCTGAATCTGAGTCTGAATCTGAGTGCACTCTGGCCGCACCCATAGGCATTACAATGATCGGAATTGCAGAATAGTCGACTGACTAGTCGGCAATTCGAAAACCAATTAGTCGGTTAGTCGGCAAATACTATGGTCGATCCATCTAGCCAGGCCGTTGCGAAAGTTGCTTCGCAGTCAGAACACGTAAGAAAATGTCACTTAAAAATAAAATAGAAATAACTTACCAGTAATAATAATAACACGAGTTTCATTTTGCTAAGTAGAGCCAGTGTAAGACAAGTGCATTCTTGTGAAGGTAGGTAAGGTATTAGTTAATTATAAAATAAGTACCACAGTATTTATATAATTACCAGAAACATCATTAACAATAACTTATTAGCTATATAAATTTATATAGTCTACACAGCTGTGTCAACAATCTAGTGCAACAAATACTACGTGTTTATTGGAAACTAGTTATCCGCCATTACTTCGCTTTGCTGTATACTATGCTTTTTTGTTCTTGGGCTAGCATGTCATGAACCATCCTGTGAATAATAGGGATGACGATCAGGGCCGGATTTAGAGGTCCAGAGGCCTCGGGGCAACAGAGGAGCGGAGGCCCCCTCACCCCAAATTATTTTCCAAATAAAGTAAACATTTTTTTTTCATTCGAGTTTTTTAATAAATAATTTATTGTGAACCAAGTAGATTCCCTTAGTATTGAAGTAACATATAAATATAAACGGAAACAAGAATTATCTGAAATTAAATCTTAGAGTTAACGAACGGAACCTTTCGAGCTTTTTTCGCCGAAAAATCATTGATGATTTCGATTTTTTTTTCCGAAGTCTATTGTGGGGGCCCCCACCTCTTTCTGTGTTCTGTGGGGCCCCCCGTTTGTGGAGGCCCCGGGGCTTTCGCCCCAGTTGCCCTCCTCTTAATCCGGCAGTGATGACGACTATATTGTTTTCGTCTAGCTTTAGGCCCTTTTTATACGCAGGCAGAACCTCTATTTACAAACGTTGGCGACATTACAGGGTGAGTAAAGTACTTCTAGCATGAACCATTATCGAATTCGAATAGTTTGCAAACCGAAATGTCAATGTTAAATTTTGTATGGAAACTTAAACAGCAGCGGCACAAAGTACGTAACGAGAACTAAAAATCAGTACACATTTGACAATGACATATCGGACTCGCAAACGATACGAATTCGATATTGGTTCGTGCTAGGGGTACAGGTCGTGGCACGTAACTCTAGCGCTCAGGGCTTGTTTACCGGTTAATTTTCAAACCTAAATCAGTGTCAAGTACATTAGGAGAATTTTATTTAAGTTTGGCTCTACCTTAACCTTAAAAAACCGGTTTTGCTAAAGAGCGAAATCAAATAGGTTTTGAATCAATTTAGGGGTTTTCAAAGGGTTTCATTTCGCTCTTTCTGACGGCATCGATAATAAATGAATAACTTGACTCGCTAGACGCTAGCAAACGTGTCAGTAAATGCATCAATCTCTGTGCATTAGCAAGATGTAACTTGAATATTTCAAATAAAACAAACTTCAAGCGATGCCGAAGCGTGCACGCGTCGCTCTGGATTAAACCGGTTTATTAAGGTTTCAGGTACCGCAGTCATTTCGAACGCGCTCCGAAAGAAACCTTTACTAAAAACCGGTATTAATCTTTATTTACCGGTACTTTCGAAACCGGTGTCAAGCCCTGCTAGCGCTGAACAAAACGCGCAGGGGATAGTTGCGCATGGGTACGATTGGAGAGCCAATCGGCGCATCGCACACCCACCCGCGCACCTCGTTTCCCCCCAACACATCTTAATTTTTACTTCTACGCAATAACGGCTTGCGCTAGTCTCGTTCCGCGACACACTAACAAACGGACCTCACACCTAGCCTCTCGCAAGTCTAATGGGTGTGAAACCGAGAAGACGTTAAGCAGTCCGAGCGGCTTACGAGCGCTTGCGCTAGACTAACTAATGTTTAAATCTAAAGAAAAGTTTACTAGAAAAAAATCACAAGGACCAGGCAGCAGACGGGACTCGAACCCGCACCCTTCGCTATCTGGGCGAATGCAAAGACCATTATGCTACCGCGGCCCTGACGGTGGTGTCGAATTTTCTCTAGCCTAAGGCTGCAAGGCGAAGGGTGCGGGTTCGAGTCCCGTCTGCTGCCTGGCCCGCGTGGATTTTTTTCTAGTAAACTCTAGATTTCTTTAGATTTTAACATCTAGCAGTGAAATGCTTAAAAAATAAAAACATATTTTTTGTAAGATTTAAGTAGCAAAGTCAGCAGAGGACCTCGGCACAATATTCAAAGACTTGCAGGTTAAAATTAATATGGGTAAGACAAATCTAATATCAAACTTTAGATTCATACAAAAATGCCCATATGCAATTGTATTTTGTTTATGTTTAAATAAGACACATATAATACTGGTAATACTTTATTGGATTTAGTTATTCTCAGTTCACAGTTCTCATCCTCTGGAGAATGGTGGGAGGGCGTTCGTCTCCAGATGATAAACACCACGAGAACTGAAAATTAAAAATATAGGTATATATAATTCATCAACCAAAAATTGACACTTTAAAATCTTTACCCTAAATAATTCCTTATATAGCTCAAAATCACTTAATGGAAAACAAGTCACAAGTGAAAACGCAAAGAAACACCGACGAAACGCAGATTGTATTTACTGAGTATATTCTATTCAAAGAGGAGCTCGATGGCGCAGGTGGTTAGCGCGTTCGGCTGCGATCTTTGAAGTTAAGCAACTTTCGCAGTGGTCGGTAATTGGATGGGTGACCAAAATACTTCTATCTCGAGTTTCTCCGTGCTTCGGAATCCCGGCTGCATCTGCAGTCGTTAGCACCCGCCAATCCGCACTGGACCCGCGTGGTGGATCATGGCCCAATCTCCCTATTCCATCCATAGGGAAGGCCTGTGCCCCAGTAGTGGGGACATTAATAGGCCTATGATGAGTATATTCTTATTTTGAGGAGCTTGATGGCGTAGGTAGTTAACGAAAGAAAGAAAGAAAGAAAGAAAAACATTTATTGACGACATACATTAACAATAGAATCTGGTATTACATATCGTAACTTAACAATAATATAATTAACAAATATACTTAACAATAACAATAATATATATATATTATATTTTCATTAACAATTACAATAAATACACATCAAACATAAGACAAAAGGTACATCGTCAACTAGGCCCCACCTCATATCATGTATTGCCGCTGCAACGCTGATATTCTGGACGGACCTAATTTGGACATCAATGGACGGAGATACAAGACAATCGCTTAATATACAAAATAAAAGAAGATAATATTATAATAATATTTGAACAAAACGAAAACAATTTGGACCTCGTTTGACTTTTCGAGGGATCCAAATGATGCGAAGTCCAGCACAAAAACCAAAAAACAACATAAGATGATGGTTAACGCATTCGGCCCGTGATCGTGAGAGTTTAACTTTTACGATCACAGACCGAAGACAAATTTCGTAATCGTCGATCATGGGATGGCTGACCAAAAACTTAAATTATCTCGAGCTCGTCCGTACTTCAAAGCATGTTAAGTCATTAGCCCTTACCAACTCAGGCGTGATGGTCACGGCTCGTTATGTCTACACCATAGATATATAGTCCAGTCGGAATAAACATGAGACCTATTCTAAGACACCAGCGCTTAGCCAATTTTTTCCTAGATAGTATAGACCCCCACGAATATGCCCTCCATTTGTCCCCGCTAGAACCCGTGTTTTGTAGCCAGGAAAATTGTTTAAACAAAGAAAAACCGGTTTTTTTGAGTTTTTTTGCTTGTAAACGGGGATTTTGAAATTTTTTTTGAATCAAAGTTGTTCATTAGCTTGCCCTCTACAAAATCAGTTCTATGAAAAAATAACGTGAGATTGTTAGTTTAGCAGTAAATTGCAATTATGTCGGTTTTACGTTTGCAACAATTCAACATGTTATAATAGATAACATGTTGAATTATGTATTTAGAGTTTGTTAAATTGGCTAAGCGCTGGTGTCTTAGAATAGAAGTCGGTCCAAATTATGGCTATTCCGACTGGACTAATACTATTTATTCAAGAGAAGTAGAGCACAGCGGATTATCTGCTCGAATTGTTGCACCCGTCTGGGGAAGAAACCTTCACCTTATAGAATACCACAGTAAAACAACAATACCTTTTGGTGATGTTATGTTAATGCTGGTGAGTGGGGTTTCAGGGCTCCGCGGGGTAGGGGAGTGGGTCTCCCAGGCGTAACAAACGGCGACTAATCCCACAGTTACGCCTGGAGGGCGACGGGTAGATCGGGGAGTTGGTTTACCTAGTAGGTACGAGAGCTGGTCGGCTGCGGTTCGTGAGACTAGTCAGGTGGCGATGTGAACGGAGAAGCCAGGGATCGGTTAAAGCGGGTGCGGACTGGTCGAGACGGTGTGGTTTGACGTATGCCATGCTTGCGTGAGTGCACGTCAAAGTATACCCGCACTGTCTAGCGGCCCTCGGGCTGCTCGCCGCTTGCCGAATGCAGCACTCAATTACCTGCGTCGCGAGAGTTTGTTGACAGCAAACCAACGCGGCGTTGGTCATTGTCGTGGATATAATGCATTTTTTCTCCCCGTCATAGAAAAAGAAGGGGGATTGTGTTCAGGCCGGCAAGGAGTGGATGGCTGGAGTAGCACACCTTCTGCAGCAAAACCTATCTTAGCGACTGGACCCCACTCACATTTAACATCAGAGAGAAGTGGGGTAATTTGTTGCGCCCCGTATAACCCCGTATAAACACCAGCCAGAGGGAAGGCTTGTGCCCCAGCGCTGGGGACATTAATAGGCTGATAATGATGAGGACTCACCCAGTCTTAGCATTCAGTCCGCCCATTTTTAGTCTTCCTTCGCCGTTGCAGGAACTGCTCAGGGCATCACGGTGTGACTCGCATTCTACTCCAGTGAACCCTCCGCTATGCACTGACTCCGCGAAGTAGTATACGGCCCTGAAAACAGTTTATACTTAAAAAGAGATGTATAATATTCTTGATTGGTCTGAAGTAAGGCAGTTTCGCTGGTCAGCAGGCAAGTTTGAGAATACAAAAGTGCCCTGTAAACCGGTAAACGATATAGAGTTTGTGCGGAAAGAGAATGGGATATAGATTGGAGGGCACTGTAGTGTTTTTCTACCGTATTTGTGAGGTTTTACCCTTTTTAGACATGATTAAATACAAAAAACCGGAAGAAATCACAACAAACAACAAATCCGTATCAATACAAAACTGACGTTTTACAGATTGCTGGATTTGATTGCCAAATAAAAATCTTATTAAATCTTATTCTTAAAAATCTTATTATGTTAGTTCCCTTTTTTGCGCCACGCCCATTATCTTTCCGCACAGAGTCTAGTAGCATAATAGAGTATTGTAACGCTCGTAGCATTACGGCCTCCTTGCTTGTATAAACTCTTTGCACATGTAATGTCTACGGCTGGTAGTTGTATTAAAAAGTAAATATCATTAATTTAAAGATTCGAATATGAGAACCTTCTGTCTCAAATCGAATATTCTGGGAGATAGAATTGAGGCACATACTCGATCGGTTGATAGAAAGATTATTGTAATTTCTCTGAGTCCAAATAAACAAAGTTAAGCATCTCAAGTATTATTATTTATAGTTTTTTTAATGCTTAATAGGCAAGGTAGCTTGAATTGCAAAATGCTTAATGACCACAATCTCGCCTGATGGAAAGCGATGATGAGGCCTATTGTTTAGCCTATTATTTATAGTTTTGCAAGCTACGTCCCCAAGGCTTCCCTTCAGCATAAGCCCTACAGTGCCAACTATTCTACTAACTAGATACTTTAATAATGTAAACTGTATTGGTAGAGGAAGAATAGAGGAATTTTGCACAAAAGTTTTATTCCTTTGCCTTCACAATGGAATTAATGACGCTCTCTTTAAAACTCAGTCTTCTTATTTCATTTCTTAAGTCACTAACCGCTAACACCCCATCGCCCTTTAAAATAATTATTTATTCATGATGTGTGACATCAGTGTTTTTTCAGCGAACAGATTCAATAACATAATTATTTAGTTTCAATTAGTAGGTAATAATATTTTGTTGACATAGTACTTAAACAATAATTTCTTAACACCTTTTCAGCTGAATTAAATAATATACAATTGAAAATAGCAGCTATACAAAGTAAGTATTAAACATCTTATGAAATTGCGTCTATGAACAATGTAATCTAACTAGATGAATTAAAAGATCAAAATTGGTTGCATGATTTCAACTTTCTGTGGTAATATTGCAGTACACACGTACTTTGATGACAAAGTGCGTTAGTAACGCATTCGTGGTAAGGTATCATAATATTGACGTAATAACGTAGGTTTTTTCCTAAAAGTTGGTGTTTAAAGATTTATACCCAAAGATTGAAAATTTCGAGTCGTTACGTTACGAGCCTACTTACTAGTCACATTTGAATGGCATTCTTCTTATCCAACCGTTGTGAAATCGGGTCTTTCGCAGGGTTCATATATGGGCCCCTTTTTTTCCTCCTTTGTAATAATGACCTATGTTATCAGACTATTTCCTTAACCGCTGATTCTATCGATATTTCCTATTCCACAATCTATTTGATTTGATAGCTTTGGCACGTTGGCACTTACTTTAGCTTTGATGGCGATCGCGAAAATAGTTAGACATTTAATGGAGCACTTTTTGATTGAACTGGTATAAAGCATAATTATTATTTTTTTCATTATATTGATGTTAGTAGACCCTTCACAGGCCCCGTACGACCCGAAAAGTGTTTTATTAAATGTCTGAAACGCGTGAAAAGCTATAAAAAAATAGTGTGCACATCTGCAGTGAATCTTCTTTTCTTAAATAATCTAACGTTAGCCGGTGCATAAGGCATAGAGGAATGGAGCAGCGCACGCATCACTCATATATATATGTTATATATATTCATCTTTTCTATAGGATTTTTCCATTTACACACCTTCCGAAACGAAGTTCCACTTCAATAAATACAGTACTTAAACTATTTAGCACCTATATAATGTCTTGAAGTTGTAGTTGAAAATGCCTTGGGAGTTAATTATTTACCTATTCCTGCTGCATTCAGAGTTGTTGCCGCATCCGGGCATGGCAGCCCCTCCGTTCGGATAAAAATCGACGTCGCCTATCGGTGGTTCGTATCCGGTCGTACCAGCGGTGGAGTGGATCACCTCAGTGTATAGAGCCACGGTGGGATTCAGAGCTGGAAGGATGCTTGTTACACTAGGGCCTTTGGATGGGTCCAAAGCTGGAAAACAACAACTAGTTTAATTTCTTAGTCTTAGAAAAAAGAAAGCAAGGAGGTGGGAGATGACTGAATTTCCGTCCGTCTTCGGCCGGGAAATAAACTGCACCTTGCACAATCCCTAGTGTTGTCAACACTAGGTTTTGGTGGTGCTATGGTTCCATGGGGTAATAGTAGGGGGAGCCCAACCGGGGATTTTGGGAACCTTGAACCTTATGAAGTACAACCTTCGCCTTTTTCTTCAGAGGTCCACGCGCGCTGGTCTTCGGTGTCACCGTCTAACTGTGGCCACAATTCCAACGCGTACAAAGAAATTTGGTGACTCATTTCTTTGTCGCTCTATCCGTAAATGGAATGCTCTGCCTGCTCACGTGTTCCCATCCTTCTTACAACCTGAGATCCTTTAAAAGAGGCGTGAAGAAGCAATATGCAGGCCGCCAAGGTGAGGATGGCTGGTGTGGCAGGTAGAACTGCTGTACCAGCTATCTTCACGTCTGGACTTCAACACCACATCAGGTGGGGTGAAGTCATTTGTCGGACCTATCTATAAAAAAAAGTATGCCCATCATACCTGAGTACTTTATATCCAAATTGACAATCTTTTGAATAGGGACTACTGGAAGGTTCACGTAATAATTCTTCTTAATGTCTGACTCCCTCGAATATCTTTTTTCCCTATTTTCGGCCCCTTCGTACAGCCACCCCTACACCACGCAAATTGGCAGATTAATATTTTTCCGTCATCGGAAACGTCACGTGAACCCTCCAGAAGCTGCTATTCAATAGACTGACGATTTGGACACGACCAAAAGTCATGGCCGTTTGTTGTTTTGTGCTTCCTTAGACGTATTACTCTATATTAAGGGCTCAGGTATGGTAGGAGTACAGCACAAGGTGCAATGGGCGACATTATGTTATTCTGCCGCGCTCGAGTAATTTAATCATTTACTTTTTTTATTGGAATAATAAAATCGTCCCAAATATTAACTTTAAATACACATCATTATAATTTTTTTAAAGCATTTAACTGCTTGATGTTTAAATCTAAAGAAAATATAACTAGAAAAAATTCCACGCGGACCAGTTTGGTGGGTTTACCTACAAAGCGAAGAGATGGCGCTGCCTTGCAGCTTAAGAATGGCTAGAGGAATTTCGACGCGGACCGTGAGGGCCGTGGTAGCATAATTGGTCAGTGCATTCGCCCGGATTGCGAAGGGTGCGGGTTCGAGTCCCGTCTGCTGCTTGGTCCACGTGGAATTTTTTCTAGTTATATTTTTCTTTACATTTAAATACACATGCCAACAATTGTTTTTTTTATTTTTCTTACTGTTAATAAGCCTATTGTATTAATCGATGCCCCAAAGGACACAGGAGTTAAATAAACAATTACCTGTGATATAGCCGACTCGAGACCTCAGTCTTCTGCCGATGAAGCCTACGTTCCAGGCTCCAAGGCCGACACCAACGAGGTGGTAGTCTGCCAGGTCTGCTCCAGAGCTCTCCGAGAGCCAGTTCAGGAAACGCGCCACGTGATTACCTGATGATGAGACGAGGTTATCAATGAGGATTTTAAAAAGAAAATTATGTGTGTCCCCATAGCCTGAGCATCACGATACACAAGATATCACGTTTTTTTATCGCTTCTAACTGTCAAAGTCTATAGTAATTTGACAATTCAGTGTGATAAAAATGAGAGATATAATTTAGGTGCTCATGCTAGGGTCTGGACTATGTCAAGATTCGAGCTGGGATGGGGAATTACTGTTCAACTACACTTGAATGAGTTATATTGGGGAGTTCGACGGCGCAGGTGGTTAGCACGTTTGGCTTGCATTCTCGGAAGTTAAGCAACTTTCGCAATGGTCGGCCATTGGATGGTTGACCAAAAACTTATTATATCGATATCCCTGGTGCTTTGGAAGGCACGTTAGACTATCGGTCCCGGCTGCATCTGCAGTCGTTAGCATCCACCAACCCGCACTAGGCTCGAATGATGGTTTATGGCCCAATTTTCCTATACCATCCGTAGGTAAGGCCTGTGCTCTCGCATTGGGGAAATTAATAGGCTGATGATGATACTATGGGACAATTTAAAAATTCACGGAGTCAAACTTATATAGAATTTGCGAGGCGACTGATTAAACTATGCAATTTTTGTGTACTTAAAATTAAATAGTAATAATCTTCTTCATCTTCTTCCTCGACTTCAATGTTCTAGTGCCTTAGATTTTGGTTGGATCAAAGGCTCTCGAGGACATTGGAGCATTTCAATGTCAGATCTGAGGGCTGTGTGACTCAAGGACCTTACCAGATAGAGCTGAAAAGAAGGTGGACAGAAGTGTTCCGGAGTCGGCGCCAGTGCTCCAGTCTACCAGTAGCACGTTCACGTCACCAGCAGCAAGAAATGCTGAAAACAACAAAACATTTATAATTCTGACAGGGTGACAGATCCTGAATCTTAATATAGTTATTTCATAGTCAGTGCCGTCTTTGACCTATTGGAGGCCCTGGGCATATTAGGATAATGGGGCCCCTATGATCCCCGTTTGGTGATCTAACAGGAACTAGGGACTTTGTATTTGTGATCTGAGGTGGGCCCCTATCGATTACGGGGCCCTGGGCACTTGCCCAAAGTGTCCACTGGGAAAGACGGGTATGTTCATAGTAATCAGAAAAAAATACTCGGAGATTTCATTGTCCACTATCTTAATATTCTTTCTTAATACGGCTCCAAAATAATTAAGATACAAAGCTTCTAAAAATGGTGGAAAGCAATAACGTCAAATATAAAAAGACGGCACCCCTACGTCTCGTGACGTATTATCGCGTTTAAGTCTCCATACTACGATGGCTGATCTATATAATTCTCTGTGTTATACGTACCAGGTAGAAGTACAGCGTTCGATAGCCCCACAGCAGAACTCTGCAGATCGTGGACTAAGATGACAGTCTTGCGGTCTGGTCTGTAGTTAGTGCTGGCCAACAGCTGGTTCGCGCCAAGAACTAAAGGTTGGCTGACTGACGGGTTGGCTCTGGAATGGCAATGGATGATTCAAGAATATAATATAAAATTCAAATAAAGATTATTATGATTATGATTCTGATTATTATGAAGAAATCCTCATAAAGCCGCCAATACATGTTGGCCGAGCTTAACACAACGCGCGTAGGCAAACTGATACAAGGCAAATGCTGCCATCTGGACGTTGGGCAAGTTTGAAGAAGACTAATGCCTAGACGAGCTTTGTGGAGCTGCCCATACTTGGTGCGCTATCAGTTATTTTGGACGAAGTGAGGCAAATATTGGCGAGCGACAGCGAGTGCCTACAAGCAACGCCAAATGGAGATATATATGTTACCGGGCAAACCCGATTTCAGGACAAACTAATTTTGCCTAGGCTAAACTAGTTCTTTCTATACGCGATAGGATTAACCTAGTATAGCCTAGTTTAAACTAATTTGTCCTAAGCCCGATAGGATAAACCAGTTTAGCCTAGGCCAAACTAGTTGATCCTGATATAAATACGCACACTCTAGGATAAACTAGTACGGCCTAGACTAAACCGATTTAGCAGAGTCGAAAGTAATTGAATAAACATGTCAGAACTTGTACAGGTCGCGTCATGTAAAAAGAACGCTGGAAGAAAGTGGAGGGAGTGTGTTTGCTGTAATTAGTTTTTGTTTAATTCTTTGGTTTTTGCCGGGAGGTCGGAAGACAGTAAAGCCGGGTACTCATAAGCGAGCTGTAACCTTAACATGCGTGATACCCAAGTAACCAAGAAAAAGTTTCTTCATCTGAAAATGACATTCATAAAGCTAGAATAACTGCAGCAGAAAATCCTGTGGAACAGGATAAGAAAATGAAAGATTCTTCTGGCAAGTCTCATCCACCTGCCAACATTGGAGATAATGTGACTATACCGATTCCAGATGTTGACTAAGGCAAAGCTGATCTCAGAAACATAATTGGAGTTATTCTTCAGAAAAATGACGAAGGTTTTTACAAAGTTGGCACCAAATATGGTGTACTTCAGAAACTATATTGCAGGTTATATTTTTTCTTACTTAATTACTTATCTTTCTTTTGTTTTTGTTTCGTTGTTGTTTATCTATCTACACGTTGACGTTTTCCTTCACTCGGCAAATTAGGCAAGAAACACCGAGCGATGTCAAAGAAAGATAAATATGCTTTCTATACGTTGATATTGGCCTTCCCTTGACCAATATGAATAGGCAGCTTAATATTATTTTTTCTTATGCTCACACCAATTAGCCTAACCCCAAATTGGGCACTGCAGGCTTGTGTTATGGGATACTAGGGTAACATATAGAAAAGCATACAATGATACATAGATAAGTATTTTTTTTGCAGATATACATATACAGGGTGGCATCAAAGTAATCACTCTATTGAAAGATGTTATAATTATTGCAAATGGCGGCGTACGTCAATCATATTTGATATTTGTGAACTAACTCCATTAAATTCATACTAACAGACAACTGAATACACAGCACGATTTCATTTTGGCGATTTGGCATGGCCAGAATGATTGCACTATTTAACCGGTCCAAACCTCTTTCTTTGGGGATGGGTACATGAAGTCTCGGGTTTATGCCTACAAGCCTCAAACAGTCTTAGTCATCATATAGATTTCCATCACTATATTTTTTTATGAAGTAAAAAAGTTATACAAAATCTTTAAATCAACTTAGAGCATATACCAATAGATATGAAAAACCGTTCACTCGCTGAACAAAATTATACACCATTTTTGACGCAGGACGAGGTACACACGTATAGCACCACTAATGATTCCATTTTTGCGGGAACTCCGACTCGCGATGCGGCGTGGTTCGCGCGCACTACTTTTATATAACGCATATGGCCCGATGGCCACGTACTTTGCCGGAGGGGCTCGCTCGCCCAAGCCATCTCCATTGGTGTATGCTCTAAGTAAATTGATGATTATTTTTAGGCCACCTTGCATATAGACAGTAATGAAATAGGTAAAGATGCTTGTATTTAGCTTGTATTATGTCATCATAAAAACGTTTGTCCCACTGGGATTCGAACCCAGTTCCTCTGCGTAGGCCACCAAATCAAATCAGAATTTTGCAGCTTTTGTTAACAAACGCATATTTTTAGACATTCTTATTTTAGAGAGCTAATGTCTCCGGAAAACATCGGTGCAAGGCATGAAGTGTGCAATGTTAATCTCTGACTGTTCACACTGCCGGCGAGAACTCGCTCCACTAGTTGTCGCTGAGCGACAAGAGCTATCATAGATAATAATCGCTAAACGATGCTCGTTGGCCGTCAAAATGCGTGCGCGTGTGTTTTTGCTCTGGACTGTCACCGCGAGCGAGTGGCGCGAGTACCCACTATACTTATACACACGCTTATAGTCCAGTGACAAAACTATAGGAACTACACAATCGGAACTAGTTTTTAGCTTACTCGCTTTTCGTTCATCGTCGGCGGTGGGACTTTTTCTTTAGACTTGCAAATCGATGGCGTAGTTGTTTGACGTTCAGAACAACTTGTCAAACAGCCTAGCTTACTAAACAAATGAATTTGAATGGAAGCTACTTTAACTTTACTTTTTAAAAGGATCTATCTATCTCTTTCTTACCTAGTGAACAGATGGTACTGGTTATCCCTCGAAGGTATGTACGGAATTTGGTCAATGGGGAACCAGTCTGGTAGTTGTGGAGGCCACTGGATATCGGGCAAAGTCGGAGGCCAGTTAATATCAGGCAAAGTCGGAGGCCAGTTAATATCAGGCAAAGTCGGAGGCCAGTTAATATCAGGCAAAGTCGGAGGCCAGGGCTGACTGTCAGGCCACCAAGCGGGCTGATCAGGCCATTGTTCAGGTATCGCTGGAGGCCAGGGCAGACTGCCAGGCCACCAAGCAGGCTGATCAGGCCAGTTGATTCCATCTGAGGGTCGGACTTGATTGAGGAGCAGAACTGAAAATGAAGGAGAAATCTCATTAGAAATATTTTAAATCATCACCAGAAGGAAAATGAAATTGAAAAAAAACGGCTTTCGATGTAATACAAATTCAATTCCGAGAAACGGTTCGTAGATTTAGTTCAAGAAATTAAGCATAGCGAGCAAATTGTCTCGCAATTTTTTCGTCCTTCACGGATTTCTTGAAATTTTCACAGAAGATAGAAGCCCTAGGATTAAAATTATCCTTGGGGTGGTTGCCACCCCATCTCGGGGTGGTCATTTTTATTATTTTTTAACTAGATAAATCGATTAAAAAAGAAATTCTGAGTAAAAAATGTTCTATACATAATTTTTGTAAAACTAATATTTTATGATTTATTTGCTATTCTTAAGAGTATAATAGTTTTTCTGTTTTTCACAAATTACACGAAAATATCCATTTTATAAACAAACAGAGATTAAAATTGTAGCTTAAAAAACTTTTTGTATAATTTCTCTGCAACTAACACGGACCGAGATATGTTTAACTTTTGTTCGTCAAATACTAAATTTTAATGATTTAAAGGCAAATAGCGGGATACTTGTGAAATTTTCGAGGAAAACTAAAGTAAATAATTATACCGATTTTTGAAAAAGTCACTCAGTCTGTAGGATAAAAATTTGGCGAGTTATGATAACAAATACGGTTGGTCCCTTCCTTTTTGCAACGAAAAATTCTGTGAAAACAGCTCCCTGATTACCCTTCTAATTAAAAATTATCTTTGCCGTTCTGCAATTCTAGATATCCTAGAAGTATGACCAATTTAAAATGTTTAATTTTAGAAAAAAATGAGCTTTACGTGAAATGCAATTCCCTCAAATTTCTTAAAAAAAACCCTTTAACCTTTAAACCTCTTTAAAATAACTCGATTGTAGCTTTTTTTGATTGAAAAGGTTTTGAATGGTGTTGATTTTCTAGAAAATAAATATTTAGCGAAATATGGCCATTTATAGCCTCTTTCAGAATTAGATATTATTTATTCAATTATTATTATTTATTTAATTATTATTTATGCCTTTACAGGCACTTAATGACGTCATAAATAAAATAAATAAATAAATGTAATTTCATGTACATTTGTCTGTTATATAAACCTCATCTTTGTAATAGGCCTTACTAACTACGAGCAATCACCACCTTTTTCGAGGCCTTTAATTAATTCACATAAACTTGTAGCTCTAATCTAATGTTCGTACAAAACTTTTCACACATTTATATCAAAATACAGAGGAAAGGAACCCTCTGCTTATGTGTCTAGAGTTATTTTCAACTCAAACAGTAGCTTAGAAAAGAAAGAATCTAACCAATAGATTGGGGTTGGTTCTTGAAGGAGGATTCTTCATCCCATTAAAATGAACAAAGCGCCTGTGCCTGAAGAAGGTCTTAAAATTATTTTTATCAATCCAAAAAACGGTATGGCATTTCATGTCATGTCGGATTACATTGCAATTAGATTATTAGTTTAAGCATTTGACTGCTAAAAGTTTAAATCTAAAGAAATATTTACTAGAAAAAATCTCGTCTCAAACCTTTACCGAGTTGTTTTTATTCCAGTAAAAGTTTCTTTAGATGTTTGGTATGTGGCGGCGACATCTACATGCCCCACATATAATCAACATGGAGGAAATAGTCACTCGCCTCCTCAAGAGATGGCGCTACCGGCGCTGCGATGACAACGTATGGAAGCCTACATCGCGCAAGAGAAATTCGGAGCCTAACACTCGATATATACGATGCCCGACCAACGTCAGTCGGGCCGTGGCCCTCGAGCTACCATCATCCAGCTCGGAGGAAGATCTTCCCCTTTGCTTCTGCCTTCTGCCTTCCTACAGGCATAATAATCTAAATACTACAATTTCATGATACGAATGCTAGGTGTATGAACACAAATTAATCGAGTAGAAGACGTAGTAGTACCTAACGCAACGGCCTGATCTTGCGGCTCCACTGGAGGCCAGGGCAGTCTGTCAGGCCATTCGGTGGGACACGTCGGAGGCCAATCAAGTTTCTCGGGCCACCATGAGGGCCTGTTGGGCCAGTCAACCTTTTCGGAGTGTTGCGGTAAAGCTGTGAAAGAAAAATAAAATATTTTTCGTTATCAGAAATAATGGCGCGCTTACACTTGGTCATGAGCCCGAATACGATAGAAGGGTAAATGACTACATACTATCGCTCATATTCATAAAAATGAAAACAGTTTAATAAACCTGTTTTAGCTAAAACACTGTTTTGTCTCGTTCTTTCTTAGCGCTGTCAAGATTTGAGAGAAAGTGACAAAACAGTGCAATAGTTGAAACAGGTTTATTAAACTGTTTTAATTTTTATGAATAAGAGCGTATATCTTAGAAGTGTAAACTAACGGAGTTGATTACGCCCATATTCGGGTAAATTTCCTTTTGTTTACCCGTCACCGTCTTATATAAGAAAGAAAGAATACGGGCGTATTCCAGTGTAAATATTGCTTCGAGTGCTCAAATTCGAGTAATGTCTTTCGTGCACCTCAATACGGCCGAACGACCAAATATAATTGCTGCATTATTCTCGCTATTAGGGTAAATGTGCTGACATTATACTACAGGGACTTTTGACGATAGTGCTGGGTTTGTTTGTAACATTTATTAGTAAGCATGTACCAATACATTTATTTATTTAATAATCACTTACATCTATCATTACAGGTATAACCTAATACAATAGAGCAGTTACGATACAACCAATTATTATACAAAACTAAAAATAAAAAAAAACACAAACACGAAAATAAAATAAACATTTTTATGATAGTATACAATAAGCGGCCCGTGTGAATTAATTCAATGTGCATTGAAACAAGTCAATGTGCAGAGACCGCGAGAGACATTTCTTGTCCAAAACCGAAAGGCCTACCTAAGACCGGAAGGGCCTACCACTGGACATTTTTTTTAAATCAATTTTTTTATAGTTAGGTCCGTCAAATGACACCACCCGTCTTTAGAGACTTATTACAAACTGAAGTTTCTTAGAATATTAGGCGTTTATTTCAAGTTAGATATTTTTTGAATAACTTCTTATGGTATCGTAAACCGCTTCGTAACGTAACGCGTTACGGCCTCAGCCTGTCTGGCTTGCCTTCTCCACTATCATCCACCAATTCTTTATTATCCCTCTCCAATCCCCTTATCACTCTCAAATCCCTTTCACCCTTCAATAGGGAAGATGCAATATTTTTATTTTTGTTTTCATTTTAAAGAATTCCATGTAGAATAAACCACAGATATATTAAAAAATTAAAACATTGTGATTTATCGGAAAAAATGCGGTTTTAAATTGACAATTTAAATTTTCGCGCGAAAACGAACCTGTGGTTGCGATGACGTCACTCCTGTCTGTCACTGGTCGTACTTGTTCGTCGCTGGCTTTAAATTTTCATACTTTTGCATATTATTTCGACTTACGGAATATTTTTTTGAAAAATTTAAAATGGACTATCCATCAACATCATGTAATCATAACAATACCACTAATATTCCGAAAAAAAGCCGTGTTGACTCATATTTTGTCTAATCTACTTCAACAAAGTTTCCAAATAAATTGTTTTTGACTCGAACTTCTGACCCAAAACTGAAAAAAGTGGTTTCAAGCTGCAAAGAGAAATGACAATTATTCTCCAAAGACCATTATTCGATGCTGTGAAGATCACTTTGACGTAAGTCGGCGAATATACTTGTTATATGCTTAATTAATCTGCTTGTACGTAAAAACGCATTAGTAACCTACCTAATACTTACAAAACCTGTCTATAACATATTTTTAATTTTACAGTTGGAGAATGACGTCGAAAATTAGATAAAGTTTAAAATGTGTGGCACAATCTTCACATTGGCAATTGGCAGGACTGAACCAAGCTTTGCGTTTCATTTAAAATAACTGTAACACGATAACCTTCTTTACGTACTTTATGCTCCGGAGAACTCGACCTTTTGCTGTACATAATTCTCCATCTCTTTTAATTTGGACATAGCCGATTGCATTATCGCCGTAAGATTTGTAGAAGCCGCTGAATAAAATACGAAGTTTAACAACTACGATTTTTACATACCGTAGTAATTTAGTCCCTTTCATTTCTACACTTAAAAACTCTGCACTTTGGACAAAAAAAGTTATAACCATGTCAACACTCTTGGTAAATTCCTGGAGTCTGCTTTCATAAACGCAACTTCCATTTTTATTAAATGTAAAAAAACGCAATTAATATTCCCATAAAACAATATTTACTTTAACAACCATAACCTCAAAGAAGTTGTCATAACAGGAGTGACGTCACTAAACGCTGATTGGTGTTTTAAAATACGTTCTGTTTCAAGTATTTTTAATTCGTAATAATTGTTAAAAAACAACATTATGTAAAATAAAAACGTTGCAGTGGCATTTCTTTTATATTTTTTTAACATTTTAATCATAAAATTTTTATAAATATTATATATGCATCTTCCGAGTCTGCCGACACACTGTATTGCAGTTTGGCAGACTTAGTATAAATTTCGTAACCTTTTTTTCTCAAAAAACCCCTTTTCACTCGCCGATCCATCCCCTTTCACCTACCAATCTCCTGTGCTCATTTAGTTTAACAACTTTCTGATGTAGATACTCCTCCTCTCTCAAATTAACTTAAGTTATCACTTCTGTCGTGCGTCCCTTAACGCACACGCTTTTTTGAAGTGAAACTTCCTTACGCACGCTTGACTTGGAGCGTAAGCTGGCGAATGCGTTACGCGTTACGAAAAGTGTGTTCGGGTGAGGCGATCGGGTGTCGAGTGGGTGATACAAGCAGAGGAAAGCAGTGCGCACGCATATTTTTTTTCTCTCTTTCTCTTGTAGCTAGTAAATGAAATATGTATATGTACATACATGAATATATTGTACCTACAGATGGAGCTAAAGAAGTTTCACTTCAGTCGTGTGTAAAGTTACTATTTAAAAATTTGTAAAGTCCTGACAAAAAGCCGGACATTTCGATAAAAGTCCGGACATTTTAGTCACAAAATGCAAACATCACCCACTTAGTTACTATTAGATATTCGCATCGCGAGGGGGGTCTCGTTATTGATTTTTAAAGATAATTTATATTTTGTTTAAAATTAATGAGAACTTAATAAAGATTATTTGACTTTTTGTAACACCTTTTAAGACTTAAAGATAAGAGTAAAAGTTGACGTTTGTCATACTTACATAATAAAAGTGTGTTTTATTTTGTAGCACTGTCCTTACGTTACATATCTTGTATGCACTCCTTAACAATTTTGCGTTACCATTTTGCGTCACTCTGCGCTATGGACTCGTAGAAATTTTTGCGACACCATTGCGCTATTTGTGGCAAAATCTACGGCCTGACCCAATATATATATATATATATATATATATATATATTTATTAGCCGTACAGTTTTGTCTAGTTTGCACTTTACGCCACATTCGATAATCTAGGTCACGCTCACATCAGTCTGCCATCGGTATTCACTCTAGCCGCGCATACTCATATCAATTATCATATAATTCTTATAAGTTTAATTTGTTGAATATATCATTTATTTAAAATCAACACTTGCACTTTACCACACTCTATGACAACTCTATCATAAAAAGGTGTGCAAACCGTACATATAACTCCCTAAAAAGCGATTCACATGGCAATACCGCTAGTTATATTTTCAATAATGATAGTGACCATGAAAGCTTGAAACAAAATATCGAGTCTTACCTGTAGTTACAGCTAAGCCGAGGACTAGCAGAGCCAACATTTTGCCAGCCACCTTACGATGCACTGATAAGTCGACATCAACCACTTGTTAATATAGGTAAGCGGTTCATCCACGAGCAGTGACTAACTGATAATATTAATCGATGGATTAAAATCTAATTTATGACATATTATATATTCGGATAGGTGATTTTGGTGGTGTGAATGTTTAAGGACTACTTACATTAAAATATATAAATAAATATTGCCAACATGTGAGTGTTGTAGTTCCATTACCAATTAGCCTAGCCCCAAAGTAAGCACTGTAAGGCTAGTGTTATGGGATATTAGGGTAACGGATAGAATACATATACTGTACATATATAAGTATATTTATATAGTAATACATATTAAACATCCATGACTGGAGTAATTTGTATTCGTATTTATCACACAACCTCTCGAGTCGGCGACACCATGAAACCCGGCGTACAAACCACTCGGCCACGGAGGTCGTCGAACATTGAGCGATAGTCAGTGCCGTCTTTGACCTATTGGAGGCCTTGGGCATATTAGGATAATGGGCCCCCTATGACCCCCGTTTGGTGATCTAACAAGAACTAGGGACTTTGTATTTGTGATCTGAGGTGGGCCCCTATCGATCACGGGGCCCTGGGCACTTGCCCAAAGTGCCCACTGGGAAAGACGGGTCAGGCGATAGCGATATAAATAAGTTTGTGTTTATACTGTTAAATTTTAATAGAGTAGGTCTATCAAAGTATAGGTTTAGAGGCGTATCTACCCTAGGACATTTACATTAAAACAAAAAGGGAAGATACGGTACGCTCATACAAGCATCAAATAAACTATGCCCCAACTCAACTACATAAGCAGCTCTCACACACGCACACTTCTGTAAATAAAACATTCAATCGAGCGAGCGAGACAGAACTTCAACGCAGCGAAAAGGAGAGTCCGCGTCCGAGTCCGTCTGGCTGAGCTGTATTGTTGTCCTTTTCTTGATAACAAATTGCGAATGCTTAAATAGCATTCACGACAAACCGTGATCTTTGAGAAAAAAATTGTTTTTACAGTTTTACGAATGAAAAGTGTTGCCATGGCATTTGTTATTTGATGTTGCACTATTTGTGTTCTTTATAAAAGCATCGAAGGCATTGTTTTCCCTTTATAACACAGAATAAACGCAATATTGTGATATTGAGTGGACATGCACCGTGTTTGAATGTCCAATTGTGATTAAAGCGAATTGTGGTCAGTACCACAATTTAAGCGGAACACTTTTGAGCCGCGACTGCCGTATCTTCCCTTTCTGTTTTAATCTAAGGGACTATCTCTGTATTATACCCGGCCATTTGACGTCTGATGACAGCTGCTTAAGATGGCGGCATATGAGAAACTAATCAAGACAGATCAGAGACAAATAAGATATATTCCATATTATTCCCCTATTTGATCCAACATACATTTTTAATTGTGAAAGTATTCCTAAAGTGGTAAAATACGGTAAGTGCATACCTAATTTTAGATACGCAAATACCATAGCTATTCGATAGCAGATAATAAATGTGTTATCAATAAATGAATCGAACCACCTGAATCTTCTACTTCCGTTCAGGTGCAAGTCGGGGATTTTGCTATCTGCTAGGTAATTTTACTTTGTAGGTGGGTAGATCAGGCAGCTCGCGCACAAGCCGACCACAATCACTACCAGTGGCCGCAACGACCAGATTAACTATGGTTTCTTTAGTTAATCTGGTCGTGGCTGTCTAGTGCGCAAGGTGCTTTACAGGGAGAACTGCCGGCCTATTTGCCAAATTTTTAACAGTTACAGTGTGTAACTAAAGGGAAAATTGCATATCCATCGATGCTTTCTCGAGCACGTATCTAAGTGGCTTTATAATAAAGCAGCAGTGGACCACTAAATAGCTTTGTGATTATCACTGCCATCTGTCAAAAAAAGTTGGCTTAGTAGGTCTACTGGTCATTACACAGCACGCAGGCCCAGTGCGAATTAGGTATCGTCTGCGAATTCAACCAGAATCAACAGCTTACCGTGCCTCCTGAAGCACGGACAACCTTTATGTTATCTGTTGTCGAGACAAGGGTTTCATCCATGCGTGGTTGACATGCCTCTCCTATGCATTTTACGATTCTCACCCTCCTTTCATGTGAACCACTAGGTTCTCCCTTAATGGAACTCTCTTCTTGCATCTGTATTCCCCGATACATATGTAGGAAGGCCTAAGGGGAAGATCTTCCGCCGAGCTGGGTGATGGTACCTCGGGGGCCCATCGTCTTCTACGATATTATAATAAATTAAAGATTATAAAAATTATCAACTTTGTTTTTACGAAACAAGTCAGTTTTGATAAGATATGATTATGTTTCGATGGAATGAAATGCAGGTGATGAATGAGTCAAGGTACTAATTTATTGACAAATGAATAAATAAAATTAATAATAATTAAAGTAAAATGTCGTCTTTGAGGCGCGTTAAAGCATCAGATGCAAAAGTTTGAGAGTGTAAGGTGCTTCCGTACAATGAATGCTATGCAATTTTTTTTATTTATTTATTTATAATCAGGCTACATAGGCCCATAGATAAATACCTTATAGTCTAACATATATACAGATATAAAACATTGTTGTTAGTAAATAAAATTATTAACTATGTTACTAAACACCTAATTAACACGTATAGACGGCGACGTGTGACGCGGAGTGGTGCCAGGTAACCGGCCTCGGAACCGCCGGAACACTACACCTTTCGACAAAAGATCTTCCTTCATGACAGTCGCCAGATGTTCAGTTGGCACCCTCACCACAAATGAATTAAAATTTACATTGTGACGGGACTCCAACCGTGCGACTCTCAGGGAGAACTTTGGATCTCTTATTCCTTCGTAGAGTAATGCAGGCCAGTCGGGGCAACACCACACAAATTAAATGCTAAGCTTCCGCATACGGTCTGCCGGCCCAGTTCTGTTCCTGGGTAGTAGACTTCCTGCATGAGCGTAGAATTCGTGTCCTTACGGATGTTGAGGAGGTGACTTAACACTTCGAGCCTCTTCAATTACGTCGTGACGTGGCGTCATAAAGCGCGTTCTATCGTATGTACCACGGCGAGTGTTCTGAAGAGTTATTCTCTCTTATTCCACCTTAATGTTCACGGTTCATGTCCTTCCCCCTCCCTCCTTCCTCCGTCCTATCCCGCACTTTTTTTCTTCTGTATACCAATGACTTAATTTCTCTTGGGAATATTCAGTGCTATGCAGACGATAGTACAGTGTACGCGGGATATCTCAGACAAGCAGCGGCTGGGCGGGCGGTTACCAAGGAAAAACGGAAGAATCTCATCATTGAACTCAATCAGGCTTTGGACCACATTTTCGAAAAGGGTACTGCGGAGTTCTACCCTGAAGGGATAGAACCTGGGAGCGTAACGTTATAAATGAAAACTAATTAGATATTTAACTCTTTTATTTATCGGGTGAATATAATATGTGAATTTTATCTATCTACGAGAGGTTTGGTGCCCTAAGTCCATATGATGTGGATTAAATAGAAATTAAAAAAGACAGAAGATTCCTTATTTCAAATATTAAAATCATGACATTAACTTTTTAATATAACTGCCAGCCGTAGGCATTGCATGAACAAAGAGTTTACCCAAACAAGGAGGCTGTAACGTTACAGTACCAAGAACTTGGTTGAGTTCAATTTGATACTAAGAAAACTTAGGTCTGTGCTTTCACGGCAATAATGCAGCCATTTCTTTCATTTCCTTCTCTTCAGAGCACGACACTGAAGCTAGAAAACAGTATCACCATGCTCGGAATGGAAATTCGCTGTGATTTAAATCCATAGAATTACATCGAAAACGAGGTTAAAACGGCCTCACGCAAACTCAAAGTCCTTAACAAGGTGCGGCGTTTTTTCACGCCCGAACAGTTGTGCTTGTTGTATAAAACGCATGTGCGGTCTTGCGTGGAATATTGCTCGCAGGGATGGCTCCGCCAAGTACTTGCTCGATGCTTTGGATAGGTTACAGCCAGTTACAGCGTTGCGCGATCGCGTATCGGGCGTGCGAGTGTGGTTGTGGCACCCGATATACAACTGGCCACGCAAGGGACATTGACCCCCAAAAACTTTTTGGTCTTACAGTGCTTACTTTGACGTTAGGCTAATTAGCCTAGCTAAGTTATTGTTATAAAGTAATTGGATGAACTCTCTCGTATTTCATTATATCTGAATAACTTAATAACAAACAAGCAAGCAAAGAGCGGTCTAATTATATTCTTATCGCTAATAGGTTTTATGATTTTGACACATCAATCCAAATTTGAAGACCTATCTGATATGATTGGATATAAGATTATTGTAGTAAGTTTAACAATAAAATTATCTTTAGATAGATATTCGTTTGATAGTAACACGTGTAAAAAAAAAACAATATCAATACGTCCCAGGAAACTGATAATAGTGATTAAGTCCCAAACTTAGTAATTTTACAAGTTTTAAGAGAGGTGAGGATTTTTCGCTTGAATTGGATCGCCCGTGTGGGGAAACAACCTCCACCTTTCAGAAGTCCACAGTAAAATAACACTACATTTTGGTGGTGTTGTGTTTCTGCTGGTGAGTAGGGTTCCAGGACTCTGCGGGTAGGGGATTGGGTCCAGGCCGGCGAAGTGAGGATGATTGGAGCGGCACACCTTCTGCCGCATTATCTATCTTCGCGATTGGACTCGACTACACTTAACATAAGGTAAGGTGTGTAATTAATTGCACCTCATATAAAAAAAGTCTGTACTGTGGAAGCTAAATAACGTATTAAATTAAGGTTTTTCTAAAACTCATCCCATAAAGAGGAAAAACGGGAACATGTCTCCAAGTCTCTAGCACACGCCCCAAAGAGCACGAGTGTTAGCTCCGCTGCAGAATGTTTGTGTACGACTAGGGACACGATATCAAATAGAAAGTATCGATACTGTACTCATGAGTAGTATCGGTAAAAAAGTATCGTACTCGTAAAAGTATCGAAACAAAAGTATCGATACTTCAAAGTATCGAGTACATTTTATAGGGCCTTATCAGATCCTCTGTGGCATGATGAGCAACCCCCCCCCCCCCCCCCCGGGTTAAACTTGAAAGAAAAACAATCAAATTTTATTATAGTACGTATAATCAAAAACAAAAAAAGGACATGTAAATTCACAAATTGCTATATTATATAATGAAAAGAAAATAGCTGTGATTTCTGACACTAAAAAAGTGTTCATTAATATTACATTCATAATTAAAATGTTAATTAAAAAGATCGAAATGTTAAACAATTTAAAAGTATGAAACTTTTCAGATTTGTTTCTAATTAAACTTACTTTTCTTGAATTTTATTCATTGAAAAACATTATACCCACTTATGTTAACTTGAATCTGACACACAGTTAACGGCGGCCATTGGCATGCTTCACTCGAGATTATTATTATAGACGAGTCCGTGGTTAGTCGTAGATAGTCCGTGGTTTCAAATAGGTATAGGTCACACAGCACAGACAGAATAATAGTGTTACACTTGAATAAATCAAATACAGTCAAGCGAAAAGCACAATAAACGGCGAATCAATCACAGTTCCTAACAATATGGTCGCTAAACTTTAACTAACT